GAGAGAATAATTCATCAACTGTCGGGACAGACGGACTAGCCAAAATCTGGTCGCGTACTGAATTAAGATCATTAGGAAGTCCAGCGAGGATAAGAACGAGAAACATCTTCTGTCGCTGCTCTTGTTGTTTTTCCACACTAGCAGAAACTGGCAGCAACTTCTCAAATTCCTCCATGACTGCCTGTACTTGACCCAAGTAAGTAGGCTNCTCATGTTTCTAGACCCAAAAACATCAAATCCCAAAGACATTGTTGCAAATTATTACCAAATAGGAGAAAGAATCAACTGTAATCCACTGAAACAGTGTACGGAAACACAGAAACAGAATACTGAAATACTGTAGCTGCCGGAATAGTACTGTAGCTGTCGGAATAGTACTGTAGCTGCCGAAAAAACTCAAAGTTGTCGGAATGAATTGAAAACAGTAGGGGTAGGATCGGAATTACCAGGCAACCCAACTGTTCTGAAGGAAGATTTTCAAAAAAATGGCCGGAAGTGGTCGTACTCGCCGGCGCGTGAGCTTCTGGTGGCACGTGGAGGCGCGTGAGGAGGCTGCTGCCGGAGTTTTTCACTGGGGTTTGGTCGCCGGACAGTGACGACTCTTGTGGTAGTGTTGGATTTTGCACAACACTGAGAAAAATGAAGCACATAGAAAACAGACTTAAAAAAGTACTGATTTCTCTTTCCCGGAATCGCTGGAATTTATGCACAACGATTAGTCTCTCACAATTGCTCTGATACCATGTGAGAAAGTACGGGAGAAAATATATTATTGATATTAGATGAATAATACAATACAAGAGGTCCTTATTTATAGCTATACTATACAAGGACATACTACTCTTCTACCAATGTGGGACAATACTACACTATATACATGCTGTAAACTAACAGATCTCTTTCCGTGTTCTCTTTTTCCTTTAGTCATTGCAAATCTACAATTGAATTTGTAATAGTATTTTGTTCTCACCTGATCTTTTTGGTTCCACCAATGAATCCTTTTGACCCTATTTTATCTGATGTTATTTGGCTGAAACCGAGTCTAGAATATCAGATTTGATTAATAGTAAAAGTTTAAATTTGAATAGTTTAATGAATTAGAAGTGATATAGAAATAGAATGGTGTCAAGAATTTTGAGACATCCTAAAATGTTAAAAGCGCGTCATATAAACTGGGACGGAGAGAATGCGTACTTCAAAATATTGTTTGTGTATGATTAGATTGGATGATGAAGAAAATAAAAGCGAGAGTGGGTTGATATGATTGCAAGTTTTTGCAGTGTGTCAAATTGAAATTAGCCTGGAAATAAGGTGCAGTAAATGCATTTTGGCTATTGAAGTAGTTTATGAAGAACTTGGAGTGGAAAAATATCAATTTTTAGAGACATAACTAGAATGGAGTTAAAAAGAAGAAGGTGGAAGAGGATACAAAATTTCTTACCTTTTCTTTGTTGAGAGGGTCTGACAAGCAAAACAGAATCGACTTTATCTTGACTTCCTAACCAAAATTTGACAATCCATAAACTCATATGGAACCCCAAAAAATCTGTTTTGTGATTTCTATGATTCTATCATGTCAACTCTTTGTAAAGAGTTGTAACAATATACGAGCTTCAGATGAAAACTTACTTCTTGGTGGTCACTAGCAAATTTTGGTAGTCTGGATCTAGGTAACAGTTAAAGAGGTGTATGACCTCCTCTTTATGTAGTATGTATTCTCAAGGTAGCACGTTAGTGGTCGTTTAATGCATCCTATGTTTTCTACTTCTATTTTTACTACTATTACTTTCTCTTCTAAAATATGCTGTTCATGCACGTAGTTATGGGATTGTGACTGTTCATTGCAAATCTACTATCAGATTTTGAAATAGCCTGATCTCTTTTTGCCATGAAAATTAAATAAGAACTTAGTCTTATCTTCCATATTGTTGTAGGTTATGGGAAGGAAAGCTTCAGCATCTGAACTTTTGCAATCTCTGGAGAAGCAGTCCTCTGGTTGTAGGGAATGGAACAAACCACCTCCAGGTGTCTTATGATATCTCTCTTTTCCTCATTCTTTTTCGCCTGTCTTTGTTTCACCTCATTTAAATGATGTGTAATTCTCCAATCTGTCTTAACACCTGACTCTTGGAGAATCATTGTGGTGCTTCGTTATATGATTCTACAGACATAAGCTAACCTGTAACATACAAGAGATTCTCCTGCACCCCTTTCAATTTCCTTCCTATTAATTGTTCACACTTGATATGTACTTTTTGTGGTATAAACAAATCTTTAATCTCTGTAATTCTTGTGCTTTGAAAGAAGAATAGGCAGTAAATGAGAGAAGTATGCCTCAGTGTAATTATGATAAGCTTTTATATACTTGAAAATCAGGGTGGGGTCTACCGCTACAATCTGTTTGTTTTGACAGTTCCATAGTCATGAACAATTGCTTTCAATTCTAGATGCTAACTTCATGTCGTGATGTTTTTCCTTGTATATTCTGCATTTACACTGACATAGCTATGTCTTTATCGTGAGGTGTATGAGAAATTAGTGTCTTAACACATATGTCATTGAGCAGCTGATGTGACGAAAGATAGAGAAGGTGCAGGGCATTGCACATCCAGTAAGGAACGCGAATCACTTTTTCAAGATACAGTAGAACCATGTCCACTAAGTTCTTCTCTCTTCTATGGTGGTCAAGAGGACATGTACGTCAAGTCATCCGATGCTCAAAAAATGGTATCACATCCTTGTGTGAGTTCTTTTTCTTGAAAACTCATCTTCATAACTAAAAAATGCAATGCGATGATACTAACTCCTTGTGATGTATTTGTAAATAATTCAGTACAAGAAGGAAGGAGGAGAATATGATTCTGGTGGAAACAACCAATATAGTGCTTCTAGAGGGAATTGGTGGGAAGGTATGCATGTTGTTAGGGTAAATAATATTGCAATGGTTGCAAGTAATCATGAATGGAAGCTAAGTTTCTGCAAATTCTTGTATTCAGGGTCACTTTATTACTAGAACCTGACCCCGGAGCCCCAAGACATGTGAATTCCCATATATTTATTAGAGGTAAGTCAGCGAGGACTTTGAATTCTATTCCGTGGATCACATGTGCATCTCTGATGTTGGAACCTTTTATCTTGAAATTTTAATGCATCTCTTTCTTTGTATAATGGTTGTCTACTTCCATATTATTTATTCATCACTAAAAATCTATGAATAGATTCACGCTGAGACTTGTTCGTTGGAAAAGAAAGGGACGTGTTCTTTCCTAAATATGTCTTGTTTATCTAAGATAGTGTGCAAGTGTATGATGATGTTGTTTGCAGTACACATTTTATGTTCTTATTTTTGCCACTTCCTGTAACATTGTGATGCTAATTTGCTGAGTACGAACTGATTTTTATTTCCTATTTTTCTTGGTTAATTTGCAGGAGTTCGTGAAGTCTTGGGAGCAGGTTGATTTAGTCTCGTTGAAGACGACTAGTACGGCCATTTGTTGATAGATTCCAAGGTTTTATTCTGGTTTCTCTTGATGGTTATTTGAACCCTATATGACATGGACCTTTTTACTCTTTTTGGCTCAGTGCCTTACAGAGCAGGGACTTTGGCAACTGGTTTAACATCTTTTTACTCTTTTAACACTTCCTATGTAATCGAATGATGTAAATTTCTGAATAAGTTCTGGAACTAGTACTTTGTAAATATACCGTGGAATGTACTCGTGTTGCCCTCTCTGAAGATTAGTATTAGCTAAATTGACAAGAACTGTGCCCCAGTGGAGAACTGATCATATATCCTGATTAAAGCTTCCGTTACTTGAGAGAGTTGAGATGCAAAGTAAACAGCCTTTCATATGCCGCTGCCATTTTGGTGGCAGTAAATAGCTTTACACCCCTCTCCCTTAGCACAAGTTGATCCACCTTTATGTTGCAGAATTTTCTTTGGGTCCTTCATATAAAGCTGTCTTAAGCTTGATAAATAGCGCTAGGTGATTTTGTCCATTCCCAGCGACCAGGTCTACCACACTATCTGCTGTAGAGCTTCAAACATTACAGGATCAACCAACCTCCAGCTCCAAGCTAATCCGCAGATCAACGATCTTTGATTCTTGGATGCCAACTTTGACCTAGAACCGTTGCTCGGGCTCAAGTATCTCCTCATTAACACCATTTAGGACGGCATGTATATGTTCTTCTGGTATCATGTAGATCCTCCGATCTGAGTACACTCAACATGATCACTTGTGGCAACATGATGAGCATAATATTAGAATAACTTTACCTCTTCAACCACCTTCAGCACTATTTGGTAAATGAATATGATTATATATAGTTCTTCAGGATTCCTCAAGAGTTCCTCCTGTACAGTGTTGCAATATATGGATCAAAGGGAATTACATGCCAGCTAACAACAAGATTTCTGTCGGTAATATCAAAAGGTGTTACCCAAATCAGGAACTCAACTTCATACATCTTAGCCAGAAAATATAGGTAACTCCAACAAGGAAATTCAAGTTAAATAAGGATTCTGAGGAGGGCCATTGTTCGAAATACAGGCATGCGGAGAGTATGGATTCCCATTCTTCACATGCATACAACTACTACAACCCATCCAAAAGGCAAAATCAGGAATTTCTCCTCATTTAAGCCCATGATTTCGATCAATTTCTTCAAGGTAATTTCCTTTACTCCTCATTTCAGACACCTTCTAGCTGATAACACTCCTAAGCCTTCCAAATTATGGCTAAGTTGCTTCTTTGACTTCTTGCAATTCAAGGTCAATTGTTTCAGGTGGTTTCAAAATCTTTGTCATTATCCAGGACCATAAGCTCTGATACAACTTAATAAGTATATGAGGTTGGATCTTCAGGAATTAAATTCATAAAAGGGAAGCTGGCTCAGGGATTGGGATCGGGGTTAATCAATTAAGAAGAAGAAGAAGAAGAATTTTCTAGGTTGAGTGTAAATTTGATTGATTGATAATCAGAAATTTAGTTGTAATTGGAAAACCCCATGTGTGTAAATGAAAAGTCAAAGAGAAAGAAAAAAATAAGTAAAAAAGAAAGAAAGATAAGAAAGAAAAAGGGCTAGAAAAGTTAGAACGCAACTATATAAAAGAAATAATTTGGGGGGCAATTGTGGTGCCGTCCTACCGCATGTTCACATTTTCGCTGAAGATTTCAACTGATTTCTCTGCCTATAAATACACATTCCCTTCATCAATTATAATCCATCATCCACATTCTTCTTTCTCTTTCAATATCAATAAAGTTATTCTTTGTGTGGCCATGGAGTAGGCAAAGATTGTCGAATCACATAAATCTTATCTTATGAAATTTATTATTTTTCTCTTTTTATCATTTTTCTCTTCATTAGCCTGACATGCTTCCCAATAGCTGATATCAGAGCACATACAATGTAATTCTAGTAGAAAAGTACGGTATTGGTATAATGTACTATTTGCAAGAATAGTGCAAAACTATTATCCATCAATTTTAATATTATTCACAACAATGAAAGAACTGTTCATTAATAGTGGAAGTATTGTTAATTAATAGCAAGAATATTATTCACCAATAGTGAATGTTGTCTACTTTATACGGTTGGACATTTTTCCTACACAAAGTATTATTTACCCCTACTATTCACAGGCAATATTTACATAAAAAATATTTTTTGTGAATAAATGACATCAAAATAATGGAAGGTTAAGATTCACAAGCAATGACAAAGATTTGAATTCTGGAAAATGCAGATAGAGGATTATCTTACAAAAAAAAATTACACTTACATCTGACCGGGATAAAATGAGATAATACGGCCAAAACGGATTAGAATATATTAGATCGCCAAATTCTTTGTGTGATTCATTTGACGCTGACACGAAATGTGGCGTTCAACATTATTAACGAGAAGACCAGCGCATGCCTGATTAAGCCGTTATCAAATATGTAAAAAAAGTCATTTGCGTCAAATAAAGTCTATTTGATGCGCCATTCAACCTGAATATGACTGAAGGCGGATATGTTACAGAATATATTAATGATTTTAATGTAATATTAACTCAATTGAGTTCTGTTAACATAACATTTGATGACGTATACAAACTGAAAAAATAAGCAACTAAAAAAGCTAGTGGGTTGACGAATTGTGGCTCCATTTTCTTGCTCATTAGCCCCCTACCCCTATTATTTATATTATAGTCATAGAAGAAGTCCGGGAATTAATTCTACTATCATCTCTACTGGAGAGTTGGTCTGCAATAATAAGTGCGGTTAGCAGTTCATCGGCAAATATCACACTCAAATTGAATGATATCAGAGACTTGGTTCTAAGCGAAGATATTCACCAAAGAGAATCAAGTGATTCCCAAAGATTTGTTTTGAACACTGAGAGTAGGGGGAGAAGCAGTCAAAAAGGACAAAGTCATGATTGTGGCAGATCAAAGTCAAGGAGAAGAGGGCAATCTAAGGATCGCAAAAATATTATTTGTTAAAATTAGAATTAAAAGGGTTACTACAGTAGTCAATGTAGAGAACCAAAGAAGAAGAAAAATGATTAATACAAGGATGATAATTCAACAAATGAAATTGCTAAATAAGTTGGTGATGCACTAATTTGTTGTACAGACAGTCCAGTCAAATCTTGAGTTCTGGACTCAGGTACATCCTTTCGCTCTACCCCCTACAAAGAATTATTACATAATTATGTTGCTAAAAATTTCGAAAAACTTTATCTAGCAGACGACCAAACTTTGAATATTTTCGGAAAGGTGAAGTTAATATAAAGACTTTCATGCGGTATGGAAGCTCCAAAATGTCAGACATGTTCCCGGCCTCAAGAAAAATTTGATATCTATGGGTTAGATTGACAGTGAAGGATATACAATAATATTCAGTGATGGATCATGAAGTATAACCAAAGGAAATTTGGTTGTGGCATGAGCCAAGAAAGGAACAATGTGTGCAACTTCAATACAGAAAAATACTATAGCAGCGTTTGACTATGATCTCGACTGAACATTATGGCACCGGAGGCTCAGGCACATGAGTGAGAAGGGAATGAAGTTACTGATATCCATAGAAAAATTGTCAAACCTCAAGCATATTGAATTAGGTTTGTGCGAAGATTACATTTACGGAAAACAAAAGAGAGTTAGTTTCTCAAAGGCGGGAAGGATACCAAAGAAAGAAAAGCTAGAACTAGTGCATATAGATGTGCGAAGACTAGCTCCTGTAACTTCTCCTAGAGGCTCATGCTATTATGTCACCTTCATTAATAATTCCACGAGAAAGATATGGGTTTATTTTTTGAACAATAAATCTGATGTGTTTGTTACCTTTAAAAGATGGAAAGCTGAAGTTGAAAATCAGACGAGCCTAAAAATAAAATGTCAGAAGTTTGATAATGGAGGAGAGTATGATAGTCAAGAGTTCAAATCATTCTGATATGAGAATGGGATCAGAATGATCAAGATAGTTCCGGAACAATGAAGCAAAATAGGCATAGCTGAGAGGATGAACAAAATTCTAAACAAACAAGCCAGAATATGTAAACACATTCTGGATTGCCGAAATATTTTTGGGCTGAGGCTATTCACACAACAACTTACCTCATAAATAAGGGATCCTCTATACCTCTGAATTTTGAAATTTCTAAGGAGTTATGGATAGAAAAAGGAGGTAACTCTCTCACATTTAAAATTTTTTGGTTTTATTGCTTATGTGCATATAAACTTCAATGATAGAGATAAGCTTGATCCTAAAAAAAAATATTTCTTTATTAGCTGTGCTAATGATAATTTTGGTTACCAATTTTGGGATGCTCAAAATAGAAAGATCATAAGACACAAGAATGTCATATTCAATTAAAATATGATATACACGGACAAGCTTGGAGTAGAACCAACCAACACCAGCAAACAGACATATGAAACAATTGAGTTGGAAAGAAATCTCAGAAAATGAAGTGGCTGGAGGGATTAGAATTAATTTTGATGCATAACCTGAAATTGAATCTGGATCATTTAGAACCAGAACTAGAACTAGAGATAGAATTAGAACCAGAATCAGATATGGAGCTGGAACTAGAATCAAATTCAGGATCACTTACCCATCAACCTATATGAAGGAGATCTAAAAGTCATCATTTCTGACTGATGCTGGAAAACCAAAACATTTTGCTGAAGCAATGCATGTGATAAACTGTGATAAATGGAAGCTCGCCATTAAAGAAGAGATGAATTCTCCTAAAAAGAATAAAACATAGACATTTATGCAGTTACCCAAAAGAAAGAAGGCATTGCAAAACAAGTGGGTGTCCAGGATCAAAGAAGATCGTGATGGTAAGAAGAAGGAAGGGATGGTAATTAATAGTAAAACGCTTTCAGCAGAAGGAAGGGATTGACTATACCGAGATCATTTTTCGTGTAGTCAAATTAACTACTATCAGGTTGGTGCTTAGTATCGTAGCTGTAGAAAATTTATATTTGGAGCAACTCGATATAAAAATTACATTCTTGCATGGTGACCTTGAAGAAGATATTTACATAATGCAACCTTAAAGTTTTCAAGCTTCTGGTAAATAAAGTCGTGTGTGCAAGTTGAATTATTGTTTGTATGGTTTGAAACAAGCTCTCCGACAGCGGTACAAGAAATTTGATGGATTCATATATAACAATGGGTTCACGAAATGTGAGATGAATTATTGTTTTTATATAAAAAATCTTGATAAATCATATATTATTTTACTAGTGTACGT